TAGAATATGATTCTGCTAAATCATAGACTAAACCTGAGTAATAGTAATTCTAGAGTCTCGTGGATTCAATAAGTAAAACTTACTGCTACTATATTGCTTTCCTGTCTTTGCTTAACTTGGCATTAACTTGAGTGTTAGTTGTAGCGAACTAAGTTTTTTGCACCGTTGTCGGGGATCTTCTAGACAACCAAGAAAGGATTAAGTCCATCACTTTAGTTTTACTTTTCTTTCATTTTCCCACCTTTTTCACGATTGATGTGTTTCATGGTATGCATATAATAGTGCATGAACCTAAGCCAATCAGGTGAATTAGTGCATCTTGACAACAAAATCAACCAGACTTTGCGAAACCTTAGAAGAGAAAGAGCCTTAAAACAAACTCTTGAACAAAAAGAAGGAAAGGAGTCTTCTCACGCAATGAAATAAGCAAAGATCAAAATAATGGCTGAAGGACAGCCTGAAGCTGAGAAGACCATGGGTGTACTACCTCAGCTCTAAGATTGATGAAAAACAGTATAAAATTTTACACCCTTTGATTGTCGTCAACAACTTTGAGATGAAGACCAACGTGATCTCAATGATACAGAGCTCCATACAATTTCATGGTATGAATAATGAGGAGCCTCATTAGCATATTGAAAGATTCCTAGAGTTGTCTGAGGGAGATCAAAGTGAATGACATACCTTTTCCATCTAGGATTGATCGTCAAAGATGCCAAGTCGAATAGCATGAATGAGTTTAAAAATTTGGTTAAGGCAGGAACCGTGATTGGGAAGGCAACTTGGAAGCTTTATTCGAGCCAAATGGAGGAGAGTCGAGACCATAGAGATACCACATGAAAGTACGAGTTTCATTCTACAAACCAAAGGAATTGGCTGAGGATTTGGAGATCAATTTGACCGCTTTCCAGACGTCCAAGTTGCGATGAGAAGCAGGCCAACAATCCGAGTTTCATAAGGAATCCGAGTCCCACAAGGATTAGGTGTAGAATTTGTTTCCTTGTTAAATTAGGTTTATTTCAAGTTGTGTTTTAGTTTGTTTGAGTTTTTTATGCATATAAAAAGCTTCCTTTGTGTATAGTACAAAGCATATTGAATAGAGAATAATTTATCCTAATTCTCAAACGTGTGTTCGATGAGTTTTTTATTTGGTTTTGGTGCGTCCAAAACTTTTTGAACCCTAGCCTATTGATTGAAAGATCACACTCAATTACATCAAAGGCATCACTATAACAATCGTGTAATCTCCCAGGTGTGAGATTCCCCTTTTGTTCCATCCAATTCCGATTGCAAACAAGCTATCCAAGCTCGTTAAGGAACTCTGTTTTGTGTTCTTGTTTCGAAGAGGTTCAATTCCTTGAATCCTTGAAGTTGTGCCATTCTGATCCAACTAAGACCCCTTTAGGGCTCATCAAATGACATCAATATCCTAGTTATACACAATGGCAAAGAAGACGACTTTGACGAGGGAAGACGTGTGTTGGACAAGGTCGAATGGCCCTGTTTCCAGTGATCCGACAGTGCTGCTCTCGGAACAGAAGAATAAGAATAAGAAGAAGAAGAAGAAGAAGGAAGCGGCGACATCAACAAGTAACTCCACCGAAATGGACTCCCAGACCGCTGATGATTGTGCAAAAGGATGCGATGGGTGAGAATCAACCCATCACGATAGCAGAGCTGCAATATTTCTTCCAACAACAGGTAGTTGCTCTGTTCCAAATGCAGCGAACTAAACAGGACGAGAAATTCCCAACTCTTTCATCCAAGTTCGATGATTTGAACCAAAAGGTCGCGACATTGAGTCAACATTAAGGTCCAGTCAGGGTGACCACAAAGCAGATTGAATAGAGAATAATTTATCCTAATTCTCAAACGTGTGCTCGATGAGTTTTTTATTTGGTTTTGGTGCGTCCAAAACTTGTTGAACCCTAGCGTATTGATTGAGAGATCACACTCAATTACATCAAAGGCATCACTATAACAATCGTGTAATCTCCCAAGTATGAGATTCCCCTTTTGTTCCATCGAATTCCGATTTCAAACAAGCTATACAAGCTCGTATTGGAACTCAGTATTGTGTTCTTGTTTCGAAGAGGTTTAATCCCCTTGAATCCTTGAAGTTGCGCCATTCTGATCCAACTAAGACCTCTAGGGCTCATCAGTCCCCATCATGGCTTTAACGACTAGTACCAAGTGTATCTCTTATATAATGGGTTGTGCATAGAAGACTTGCACATGATAGAATCATTTTGCCCTAGCGGTACAAAAACTAGAACTCCACCTCAGATGACTCAACTCTTCAAAGAAGGGGTTCTTGAACAATAGGATAAATCAACAAGAAGAAGAATGACACAGTGTTTACGTAGTATCCCTTTGATTGTTTATCAAACACCTCCTTTGCTTTCGGAGTAATCATGTGTACAATATGCTCTGCATTGTTGATTCTCATCGTAAGATGATGTTTCGGAACGTCGATCAATGCATCAGAAGTGGTCAAGAAGGGCCTCCCAAAGATGATAGAGTAATTTCTATCTCTATGCATATCAAGTACTACAAAGTCAAGAGAGAACATGAAGGGCCCTATCTCGACCTTTAAATCCTTCTCCATACCTAATGGTCGGCAAACCGTATTATCATCCAAGGAGATACTCATGATTCTGCTCTCTAATTTGTATATTCCTAGCATCCTAAAGATATTGAAGGGCATATCATTAAGACTAGACCCTAGATCAATCAATGCTTCCATGTTGTGAATATCATTGAGAACACATGGAATTACGAAGTGACTCGGCTCGGGCAAATTTCATTGTACTAAGAGTTGCATGTGGGAAGGTATGTTTCCCATCGCGAGCATGCGAGATAGCTCATGATATTTCTTAAGAAGTCGCTTTTGCTCTTAAGGGGTCAGACATCCCCATAAAGGCCATCAACGTTGGTATGACAGCTTCTTCCCCTCCTAAGGAAGGGATAACGATACGAGCACAGAACCTTTACTCGTAGTTATCAAAGTACGCAACTTCAAGAACGAACAATAGAAAGGTTGTTTAAGGGTTTTTGTTTGTAGGGATAAAGTGGAATTGAAAGTGAAATCTCAACACAAATCGGGAGAAAGCTCAATCAACATAAATAGATAGAATCTCGAGCACAATCAAGTGGAAAACTTGATTGATACACAGAAGAGTTCAAGCCTCAAGCTCAAAACCAAGATAAAAATCAATATTCTACTAAAAACTAACCTTAAAACCCGAGTCTTAGGGCCCGTTTAGTATCATTTTGTTGTTGTTGTGGTTGCAGTGGTGTTGTGTAAACAGATGTACAATCACAACAAGAAAAAAACAGAAAACACAAACCTGTTTAGTTGATAAATCTAAAAAATCATGAAAGCTGACAACAAGAAACAAAAACGCGTTTAGTTACTACTGTAAGAACTAAAAACCATAATACTTTGAAGAAGTTGAAGTTACCTGCTGTGGGGGGAGATGAAGTGAGGCTTTTGTGGAGGGGAAGTGGTCTGCGGCGGCAGGGGGGACGTCGGCGGCGGGTCGGCGGGCTGCGCGGCGGAGGTTTCGTCCTGCTCGGCGGGCTGGGTCGGCGCGGAGGGTTGGGTCGGCGCCGCGGCGGAGGGCGGCGCGGCGGAGGGGTCGGGCGCGGCGGGCTGGGTCGGCGCGGAGGCGGAAGGCGGCGCGGTGGAGGTGAGGCGGAGGTGGCGCCTCTGTTGAGAAGGGTGGCGGCCGACCTCTGTTGAGAAGGGTTTGGGGGGGGGGGGGGGCTGATAAGTTGAAGTAGGGTTGGGGGGCTGTGTTAAAAAAAAATTTTTTTGCTTCTGTGGGGATTCGAAAACTGGTCTGGTTTAATGAAATCAAGTGCCCAACCAGTAGGAATCTCGTGTGCAACATGTTTAAGAATCAGATCCAAAGCAATAAATTGTTGTTTCTCATATTTGGGCCCTGTTGTGCAACTCTGATTCACAACAGAAAATAAAAACCCAACTAAACACGATTTTTTTTCTTGGTTTTCCAAATTTCTTAAAACAAAACAGAAACAAAAAACAAGCAACAATACTAAACGGGGCCTTAGCCTTTATATAGGCCTGGACAATTAAAAAAAAAAAACAAAACAAAAACAACTTAAACACAAAATCTCGTCAGTCAGGCTGGTCGGGTATTTTGGGCGACTGACCGGGGGAAATCATGCCAGCAATCCCCGAACTTCCCCTCATTTCCCCGATCGGGGAATCATCTTCAACCAATACCCGATCAGCTACCGCCGCCAACTCCCTTGCCTCTTGTCTTCGCTTTGGCACGGGTCCTGGGGAATTGGGCTTGCATCAGATAAACTCATCGAGTATACTCTAGCCAAAAGAACTAGAGCCATTTATAAGAGGGCCGAAAAAGGTTCCCCGACCGCCAAATTGGAAGGCATTTTGGTTGTTGGGGCCACCATTGTCCTTAGGAGGCGTGGATTTCCTCTCCATCTTCTTCTTTGTGTAGAAGGGTGCTTATGAGAGTCCTCATGGGGTGCTGGTTTCCTTGTTGTGGTGAGGGGATGTAGAGTGATCCTTGTACGAGTTTCATTGATTCACGCTTTCCTCACCCACGTTTGAGATAGTTGCTGCAGTAGGAGTTCCATTCTCCATGTGATTCTTTCCACAAAATAAGATTTGGAAGCTCGTAGTAAGCGGAGAAAAAAATTTAAGCACGGGAGATACCCACCTCTCGTTTCCCTTAGTAGAGCTTTTTGGTACAGACGACCTTAGATTCTTCTTGTGCATTTCAAAAGATTCCAAAATGGTCAAAGATCCCGCTTATGGGGTCGACTCTAGAGGTCAAAAAATTGTGGCCCCTGAGCATCAATTTCAGATTCAAGCAAACACCTCTTATTCTAAGGCTCACCCTCCACTCCAGCAAGCAAAGAGCAAGAGGGGAGAAAGGGGGCAATGCAGCAGCATAGCATGTAATAAAAAACAACTTACACCTTCCATAAAAGACCAATCACATTCTCCTTCTTCTTATTATAAATGAAACGCCAAAATGAAGGAAGGAAAGAAAGAAATAGAGCACAAAAGACATGTCTCCATCATTGTTTCAATCAGAACAACTCATAATAAAAATCAACTGTTGCTCACCATCAACCACAATTCCACCCCCACCCAATTCGTTCAGTCAGTTTCGAGCAAGCCTTGCCACCCCAAGAAAGAAGAAGATGCTTTGGACCAAGAACCCCGGCTCCCTATTAAACACTTCCCCTTTTCTCTCCTAATGACATTGCAGCCCCCTTCTTATCTTCAGTATGTATATCAAACTCACTTTTTACCTTTTGCTGCTATCTGACTCATTCATACATCATTCATTCTATGCTAAAGCTAAAATGGAGCTCGGTTTTTCCATCCTGTGCAACCAAGCAGTATGCTGTATAAAATTGGGGTATCTATCCTAACACTTATGCTGCATCTTGAAGCTCCAACACATTCGGATGTAGGCCCGCAATTCCCCCAAATTTTAAAACTCCCCATCACCAGTTGGATGCAGTTCAATTGAAGAGGGAGGGTAACGAACTGATGATATGAAAATGCTGTTATTTAGAAAAATAGGGACATAATAAATAAAAAGAATACATTATCTATGTACAAAATTCTTGCTTAAACTGTTATTGATAACTATGATGTACTTAGCGTACGTAAAACAAAAGAATTCTAGGTCCAGAGGCAAATACCTCATGGAAGAACCCTTGGCTTCTGAGTAGTGAAACGAGGAATCCCCAAGATAGCAATCAATCCACCGATAAGTGCTGCCAAAGCTCCCACAGCTATGGCTGGTGAGTTTCCACCACCAAACAGTTGATCCCATGGACCAGATCCCAGTGAGACCAGAACCTGCATTCAGTTACCACAACACAGTACCAAGTTGGATTGAGATGATATGAAATTTTCATTCAAAAGTGTTTCTTCACTTGTTACAACTATCCAAGATTAGAAGCATTGAAGTAGAATCGGAACCAAATTACTCTTCCAAACAGAATTGATGGTAGCCTCTAATTATTAACATCAATTTGCTAACTATCTTACATTCATATTCCAGAAAGGGGGACCACAAATAACAGATGTATCCCTAAGAGACCGTATGACAAACAAGTTGATTTCTACGTTCACCAAGTCTCTAGCTATCCAAAAGTTGCAGCAAAAATTTGGCAGAACCATGTACCAACCACAGTGATCACGAGAGGCTTTATCTACTCAGTGATCAGAGAGCCTTTATCTAAATTCTAAAGCCCAGAAGGTAAGTTCCAGATATAAATTAATCGAAGTGAATGAGGTTCTTGATTGCAACTACAGACGATTCAGAGAAAGGACGATTATTTCTTCACAATTTAGGTGAAGTAAAAGAACTGTAATCACAGTTCAAAAGATAAGGTGTACCCATGTACAAGCAGTTTTCCATCGATCAAGCAACATACTCTGTTACTTAGGCTTTCATGAAACTCGAAGTCAATGAAACACAACAAAGATACCACATATCTTTTTAACCAAATCAACTCAAGTCCTTATGGTAACTTTTGATTGAATGATTATCATGGACTATTCCCACCATCAGCCGCTACATAATACTGAGCTTTCTCTGAGTTGTCTGAAAAATAAATCACCTTGAACCACTTCCACACCGAAATCAATGTTGCTTCTACAAATATCTATCTACCTTTCCGTATATGGAAACCAACCATTACGTGCTCCTCTCTAAACTTAATTTGGTACAGATGCACATCAGGCACTTGTAAATACTAAATTGTGTATATTAATATTCTGAAGAGGTTCTTGGTCCGGGCATCTCTTAGAGAGCTAGATTATATTAGGGTTGGAGGCTCTTAGTCGCAACTCAGAAGGCAGTCTAGTTGGTATCCTCTGTTTACATTATCCTGCTTTGAATTCCTAATTTAGAATCTAGGTAGATGTCCCTAACCATTTGAATGATATACCTTCAATCAAATTGGCATGCTTGGACATTTTCCACATTTCGAAACTCAAAACACCCTCCCCTAATCTACTTCCTGCAAATTGTATCTACAGTATAGAGACAACGTGCCACCAAACAGCCCGAAAATTATTGACTTAAGCTAGTAATCTGAACTGCAATTAGGTACTTTCGCTCTCCTAATGACCATGAATCATTGATTGCAGAAGCAAGCAATCGGACTAAGATGGCTTGGGAAGTAAAAGAGGCATTAGTTACTTTTCATATGTCAGTCATAAAATAACGTACTTTGTCCCAATGATAGAGGCATACATATACCAGTTCAAGACAGCAATATCCAACTCCCCCTCTAGTGGTACTCTCTCCAGCGCAGTACAGAGTATAAATCAAATATGAGAGTCCAGCAACTCTAAACCCTGTTTCCAGGTTTCCTTGAGATTTAGGTGATTGAACAACATCTAGTTAATTACCTATGTACTTCAAATGCTATCGAGCTGCAAGTCAACTGAGTATACATTTCCACTTGCAAAGATGACCTAAATAAGCCGCTCTAATAGAGGCAAGAAAGGCTACTATGTGCCTCATCTTTCCATCTTCCTGATTTTATGATCAGGAACCAAAGGAAACAACTTTGATGTAACAGCAAGGTCACAGCAAAGAAATAAACCAATCAAACAATCCGCGAAAGTTACATATAAAGCAAAGCACCTGTGGAACGACGATTGCCAAATTCAAGACACCCATCGACAACCCTGCAAAGCACATAATTAATAAAAGCACTTCAGCAAGCAGACTTAGAGCATATATAACAAATCAGTATGGAATACTGACCTTGGCCAAGCCCCAAAGGCTCAATGCGTGACGACACTAGCGCATATGGAACACTATATGTGATCTGCAAGAGAACATAAAGTAAAACCAGTTTCAATTTCTAACTGAAGCACAATCCGAATTGGTCCATTTAAGTCTCCTAAAGTATGATAAGTTCCAACATATTTCCAGGGTTGTAGTATAAAAACCATCAGCAGTTAAGACTTAAGACCAATACTATCTTACATCCGATCTATGCTTACTACTTGTGAAAAACATCAAAATTCTGCTCTTGTAAAGCACTAGAATATCACCATCCACAGTTTCAGCAGAGAATACCAACTACAAGGTAGCAGCCACAGTATGGTGCCAATGCAGCTCGGTATATAACGAGTAGCAACTTTATACTTGTGTTTCCAACACCGGAAAGCTAAGTCTCTGATGGTCGTTTTATTTATAAGAGCGAAGAGCAAAGACCCAAAATCGGGCAAAATGGATTCACCAAAAAGATTAAGAAAAACCAACTTCATGCTATAGGTTGCCAGTAGGAAGGATTCAGTAAACTTACTGCCAATGGAATTCCAAGAAGTGCAAAAACAATCAGTGCGGCAATAAGAATGCCAACTGGCGGTTGAGCATCACCTTCACCATAATAGCCGATATGGTAGGCTACATATGCAATTATAAGCATTGCAAGGAAACATAGAGCCATAAAGATGTTTGAGAGTCCCCATATGAAGCCAGCTCCCCATTTCCTGCAGATCTTCTCCATCAGCACCGACGTTATTCCTAATAGAACCGAATTCAACATGAGAGCAAATGCTCCCATTCTGACTCCAGCACTATAACTTGGTCCTGAATCTGGGTCACCTCCAAAGATTTCTCGCCCCATCCAGTCAGTATCAAAGAGAAGAAATGGAAACCAACCAATCCAATTCAGGGCGGTAACTAGCAATATAGTCCAAACAGATGCTGGGAAGTATCTGAAAGTCCCAAACAGTTCCCAGAGGAAAGCCTCTTCTGCATGGCCAGACACTTCCACTGCTTCTTCAGTAGCAGGTATCGATCCTTGAGACAACAACCCAATTGAGGGTTCTTTAGCAGATGAAATGCTTATATAGGCGGTGGTCATAATACAGACAATATCAAGATAGAAAGCAAACTTAAGATTGGCACAGTCCACGTCACATGCAGCTGTAACCGTGAAGGGGAAAATTTTGTACCAACCACTGAATGACCCAGTAGCAAAGCCAAGGATATTGCCAACAGCCATGAAAAGTGAGAAATAAGCATTCGCCACTCGAGTCCTGCGGTGATCTTTCCCTGTTAACATATCAAGTGATCAACATCATACATTTAATTCCATCTAAGTTGAGCCAATCAATATCTGTCCAGGTTTTGTACTAAAGGCAATTGGTTCACTTGAAGTCCCAATTTCCTAGTTTCCCACTTGACATAACATAACAACAATAGGTGAAGAACAACAGAACTAGTAGCAGCTAAAATATCATCCAACATATGGCTCTCAGATACATGTACAAAACTTATGCAAGTTGTAGCTTGCTTGGACATCGATAAACTGCGAAATTTTAAAACGTATCATTTCCCAATATTTGTTCGGTGCTCAAAGAAAAATAGATTACTAAGGAAGCCAGAGATGAGCCAAAACCGGGCCAAAGAAACTGAACCAATTGCAGTTTTCCCTGAATTAGGAAATAGATGGAAACAATCAAGGCACTAATGTAAGCAACCATCCAAAATACAGAGCATCAAAACCAAATGCAACAACCTGTGCACCATAAAGGATACAAACTTCAACAGAATTTGGACCCACTCAAACAAACTGTCCAAAACAAGTGCATTAGGCGTACTATCATTATTTTGGGATAATACATATGGCGCCTAGAACATTAACCACACCCAACAAATACTTTTCTGATGGTGATCACCTAACCTGCAAAGTGCAAACACTACATTATTACAGGGACGGGTTAAAATCCTCGGCTATTAAGCACCTTTTTTGTTCAACCCAATTTCCTACGTCCAAATGATACGTGGCACCCTATTCACCACTGACCCAACCCGGAAGAAAAAAATGATAACCCAATTCTGGAAGCCATTAATACCCTCCTTTCAATTTGGGATTTCGAACAACCTTAATAATGAAAATATATGATAGCGAGGTTTTGGTTTGTCGAAGCTATATCACAGTCCCCACCTTTCGTACTAAAACTCACGACTCGGCTACTTACTACTTACTAGCAGCAATCAAGCAGGAGAAGCGACCACGCCGCTACTACTGAAACCGACCCCTCCACGGCACCCACATTCCCCTTTCACCAACCGGTCCGACCCCACCACCCAAATCTCCACCCGAGCCGAGCGTACTATGTGACACTGACCCAGAAACGTTTTTTTTAATTAACCCACAAAGCTCTCTCTGATTAGTAATTCCTATTAATCAATTGATTGGGGTATAATATAACCGCACTACTTGGGAAGCTGGTAGAGAATGATGGAATCTTGAAAAGGATGATACAGTAACAACAATAAGAATATGTCCAATAATCAACATATTAATTAACTAATTAATCGCAATCAAGAATGCTTCTCCATGGGACAAGTAATGAACCAAAACATCGTATTAAGATAAACTAATTAATTAACTAAATCAATCACTACTGACCAAACAAGAGAAAGACAAAGGAAGAAAGGAAAGGGAAAGCAGAGCAGAGCAAAAATTAAGCAATTATCACCTCCACTAGGGTTCCGAATTGCAGAACGCGAACATAAAGGGAAAAAAAAATGGGAAATCAGACTAAAAATTAAGCATTAAGGGATAGTGGATTTAGTCAATTTTACCAGTCATGTCGGCGAGGAGAGCTCTGCAAGGGCCCTGGGTCATGTTATTGGCAACATCAAGAATCCAAAACCCGAAAACGAAGGCTCCGATCGCTCTGGGGCGGAAATCGCCTCTATCCCCGAGCAGCCAGCCGATATCGGCGGAGTGACCGATGATGAGGACGGAGAAGGAGATGAGCAGTGAGCCGGCGACGATGAAGGGCCTCCTCCGGCCGAATCGACTGGTGCATCGATCGCTCAAGTGGCCCACCAGCGGCTGGACTATCAGGCCCGACAGTGGCCCGCACAGCCATATCACACTGGACCAGGCATGCGGAATTCCCAGCTCCTGGACGTACGGAGTCAGGAGAGAGAGCTGCAGCGCCCATCCGAATTGTATCCCGCCGGCAATCGACGTCACTTGCAGCAACAGTCGCAACGGGACTCGCTTCCCCGCCGGCGTCCGAGCGGCCGGCGGCTGTCTCGCTGCCCGGTGTGACCTGTTGGCCGCCCTGTGCGTCTCGACTTCAGAGATTGGCATCCGATTTTTCTCGCCTATTCTCGCTCAATTTCACCCCCTCCGCCGCCACCAGCACCACCACTTACTCGCTGGTATTGGCTTGGCTTCCCCTGTTTTGCCCTCCACTCTCTCTCTTTCTGTCTCTGTCTCGCTCTAAATAATGGAGATGCTTTCAACTTTCAAGCTCTCTCCAACCTTTCGCGGTGGAAGATGCAAATCGGAGGAAAGCTAGAGAGTGGGGGGGAAAATGGCGGTTTAGCTCTACCCAGACGAAATCCTTTAAATGCCCTCGCTAGATTCACAATTCGCAATTTTACCTGTAAACAAGAATCCGAGTGAATTACAGCGGGAGACGGCTTGGATTTGTGAGCATCTCCATATTGATCACCCAACTTTTGTTTTCCTCATTTGTGGGTCACTCCCTCAATTTTGTTTCTCTAACACTCGAGTACCTAACAGATTTCAATGTGGAAAATGAAGATCCAACTTTTCTTTTTAATAAAACTTAAAATCTCAAATTATGAATAAAAAGGCGAAGGAGACAAAAAACGAGGTGGAGAAAGAGAAACATTAGGTGATATTGTAAAATGGTAGCCAAATATTTTTTCTTTTTAGTTTATAAGTAAGTGTGTAATCTGATGTCCTAAAGATGTAGTTGGTGTAGTTAGGCACAACTATTTTGTGCTTTGGGTAGCTAGCTACCCAAGTGGTTAACAACTTAACATTACAAATTTATATATTTACTACTCTATAATATAATCACCTGAATATCAATATGATCCCTGAATCTTAACAGAGCGAAAATTGTTCATTTGTTTGTTTAAGGGTTCGTTTGGTTTTAGTAAATAGATGCATTGTATTTCACACTGTTTGATTTTGTGATAGTTATTTTTGTGTTCAAATAAGTTATATTAACTTTTTAGTAAAATATCACTTTTAATCTTTGTTTCTAATATAAAAATACTACACATATACGCAAACTATCTCAACAATCTCATTTAAAAGGTGAGATATAACTATCCCCCATTTTCACCATGGTTTAAGAAACCCTTCCGGACCAGCCGGTCTGACTGAAAATATTGGATATTGGATCCCAAATGCTAGGCTGTTTTAAGGGTACAAAATGGTTGAACCAAGATTCAACCATGATATTATTACAAAATACGCTACCATTAACTTTTCCTGTATGGTTTCGCAATCATTGATTTTGACTCATAGTTTGTGCCACATCAAGCAATCAATAATAGTATGCATATGAACAATACAATAATTGTAACAATCTCAACCAAATTATCACCAAAATCAAAAGGCCCCTAAGAAACAAAACTAAATCTAGTGTTTTTGTTCATAGATTTGTTAGAAAGATAAAAGATAGGAATACAAAGAACTAAGTTTATCTCAACTCTAGTAAGAGCATTGGGTGGTTGAACGCACAAATTCACTCGCAATTGACGTACCCATTATGTTATGGGTGGTTCATATGAGTGGGTACGGGTTCTATTGTAGGTGACACACTAAAGATTAAGTGGGTGGTGGTGGATTGTGGTAGACCCACGATCCACCCTAATTTTCAACCTCAAACTAGCAAAACTCTAACCTATAGCTTTACTTAAATTGAAATCCTCAAAATAAAAATAAAAATATCGCTCATCCCATTTCGATCAAAAGATTTGATAATATATCTGGTTATCCTTCCTTCCGAGTTTCAAATGAATATATTCTCAAAATTATAATTATTGAGGATATTTGTAAAGTCTAATTTGTTTCATTGCTAGAAATCTAAATCATGTGTCCACTCTCTTTTACGATTCATTGTTAACTTTTCTTGATTCTATAGTAATTTGGCTTATTCTATTGTTTTGGTTTAGAAGTCTTCTATGGGTGATTGTGCCTTAAAAACTTGGACAATTAGTTGAGTTCTAGTGAGTGATTGCGGCTTTAAGACTTACACAATTAACTAGATTATGATGAAGATTTGTCTTTTCAATTTTTGTTTGGCTATTATTAGACTTATAGCATGTTTATTAGTTGAATATTTATACGATTTGTGATAGATTACTAGTAGTAATATAGTAAACTAAATTATGCATATAATTTATGATTTAAAGGTTATTTAGTTTGGAGATTTTTTTCATTTGAAGTTTAAAACAATTTTAGTTATGTGACCTTTTGGAATGTATGTTGTGAACTCACGAAGCCGCCCACTATACACAAGCACTCAACCCATTACAATTACATATTTGAGTAGGTGGGGTCATTTTCTGCTTCATCTACCACTTAGTGGGTCGATCTGAACCTACCCAAATTCGCATAGAATCACCGACTGCTCACCCCTAACCCTAGCACACTTAACTCTACCCCCTGGAACGTTACCTATCATTTTATCGGCAGTTGATTTGCAATCCTATAGATCACCGGAAAGATTGAACCTTTTTTTTTAAAGTGAGTGAACCTAATGTTTATACCATAATTGATGCCTAATGTTTATGGGCCGTCTGAGTAGCATGTAGTTCCATCAAATAAGTTTGAAGCTAATGTTTATACCATAATTTATCCATTATAATAAGCATAATAATACTGGCCTTTGGAGCGGGAATAGGGTCAATGAGCATCTAATAAATACAAAATCAGTAAGCACTCTTAACTTATTAGCAAGTGTATTGTAAATAAGACTGCATCGGAAATGGATAGATTAGGAATGGCAATGGGCAGGTCCGGGCGGGTATCATGCTACCCAAATTCGTCCTATGGCAAGTCAGCTTCAGGTCGGGTAATTTATTATGGATCGCGGGTTGGGGTAGGTCGGCCCAATGGGTATGCAATTTATATGAAAAACATTAAAAATATTTGTTGATAACATTATAAGACCAAGAAAACAAACCATATTATGATAAATGTAGTTAAATTATTGGAGAAATTGAGGTTTTCACTAATTTACGATGTCAGAACAGAAGCGTGCAATTGATAATCCAAACCAATACGAACGAACACAAATTTAACATGGTTCACTAACACAATGTGTGCTAGCTAATCCACGGGCAGGGGAGAACAAATTTCACTGATTTTGAGGAGAGTACAGGTTACAAACCAAATTCCGGAACGGACAAACAAAACAAACTAACCCGACGGACCTTACAACAAATTAGGGTGGTGAAGAGTATTTATAGAACTCTTCTTCTAATCCCAAACAGAAAACCAAATACATTTTCCCAAACATACAAGGAAAAGGCCAAAACAAAGTCCAAACACAAACCCAAACAAAATAGGCCCAAAACACAAAACAAACCAAATCAAATTCAAGTAATATTCTAACATACGACTTTGTTATAGCTAAAATATGATGTAATAAAAGCGAAATTCTAAGAAATTTTATTAAGATTATATGTAATTTAGGCAAAAATAAGTCGAGAATGAGGCGGCGGGTCAGGGCAGGTCGGGCCGATGTGAGTACTCATGCCTGTCTCGCCCCACCTACGGGGCGGGAACAAGTCAAACAAATCGGGTAAAATGGATAAGTTGAAATTCTCATCCTAGGATAGATAATTGACAAAACTGATTGCATTTCTATGGAATATAAGTAGCTGAATGATCAAAATAACAATTAACAAGCGGGGAAAAGAGCCGTTGTAAGGTGTATGACAAAAAAATGGCAGGGGCAGTAATTTGATACCAAAAGCAAGGGTGAAGTTAATAGAAAAGTGACGTATGTAAGTCGGAGTGTTGGGACCCGAAAGCGGAGCTCCCAAAACTATACTACTAAACTATGACGTAGGTAGAGGGTGGGGAAGTTTTGGGAGTCGTCACCGGAATTGCCGGAAACGCCCAGCCCAGGCAAAGTGCGGTGGCATGGGCAAAAATGTAAACAAGTACAAAAGCGGGTGGAAGTGGGTCGGCTTTATTTGAGGTTGGCTGGCTGGTAAAGGAGGGCCGGCGCCGGGCGGCCACCGGGAACGATAATAAAACTGTTAGCCGGTAATTAGTTTTGCCAGGGCCGGCCCTAGGATTCGGGAGGCCCTGTTCTATAAAAAAAAAATGAGGCCCAACTTTTTTTAAAAAATAATCATTAAATAAAATGCAATAATCAATAAATAAAAAATATTTTTATATAATTTGAAACCAATATATATTTAATATTATTTTAATAAAGAGTGACAATGGTTTAAATATAAAGATGAAAAAAATCGGTTACTACTAATTCCAATTGGATAATGGTTTATATATCTAATATTACTTATTAAAAAATATGATAATGGTTTATATATCTAATATTGATTACAAAATAAAAAAATATAACATTGTGCTTAAAGATTACTAATTTAAATTTCATAGATGACATAATTAGTAGAAAAATAAAATTAGGATAATAAACTTTACAAATATGATCGAAGTTTGAAGATGAAAGTAGACCATTGATGACATTTTTTGGTGAGTCTTTATTCATTGAATGATGGGATGGTAGTTGAAATAAGATGCTAAAATTCAAAATTGAATAATAGAGAGAGTAATAAAACAAAAAACGAAGCAAAATTATCCACATAGTAACTCCACAAAAAAATAGTCTATTAATTGGATTCACCTAAATATATTAGGAGAACTCAATTGATGCTAAGGGTAGAAAAGCTAAGAGGAAAAACAAAGAATAAAGGGGAAAAAATGTTAAATGAGTAGAAGTAAATTATTTGGATTTGAGTTTATATCACAAGTTTAATACAATAGTAATATTTATATTAAGTAATTCCATTTCTTATTGTTGATAACTTGGGTAGTGTGGTTACGGGAAAGTATTATATACTTGTGCTTTGATTTATTTATCCTTTTTTACTGTTAATGTGAGTGTGGTATGTACAACTAATTAGTAATTACTGAGCTGAAATGATAAACAACGAATAATAATCTGGCATGCCCAACTTGGGTCTAAAGTGTTGGTAATTATCTAATGGGCTAATACTACGGTGCAGCTATAAAAAATGCGGCACCGGTAACGCACTTTATGATTGGGCCACGTGGATATGACGTGGCATGGGGCTGGGTAAACCCACTGACCATGAGACTGCCCAGACCGCAGCAATAAAATAGATTCCGTCTTCTGTCTTCACAGCCGTTTGACTATTTTTTATTTTTGTTCATAAATTAAAACGGAAAAGCTAGAGTCGTCTTCCTCGATCGCTCGCTCCGTCCGACTGTGAACAGAAAAAGCTACCCCGGCGAACTCCGCCGCCATTGATCCGATTCCCCTCTCTACCACATGCCTCCACTTAAATCCTGCACCATATTCCTTGTCCTACATTCATTGTGTACAAAAAAAAAACGACGATTCCCTGTTTTCGAGAGGCCCTCTGTCTCCGTCGAAGTGCTCAGCCGACACAGACGA